AATATTTACAGACAAGTGTTTAAAATAAATGAGGGCATTATGGTGGGGTCCTAATCCAGAATGAGGAGCAATCTTATAGAGAAGATGAAGAGACATCAAAGACACAGGGGCACAAGGGGACAACCATGTGGCAAGGCAGTAAACAACATCTGTAAACCAAGGAGAGGCCACAGGAGAAACCAACCTGGATGGAACTTTGGTCTTAGATTCTCAGTCTTCAGACTGTGGAAAAATAAACTTCTGGTATGTGAGATACCAGGCCTGTTGTATCCTGTTGTGTCAGTCCTAGGAAATGAATGTGTCATCCTCAGTCTCCTGCTTTCCCTCCTTCTTTAGAACAAAGATCCTACTCCTAAGCCAGACACACAGCTGCCTCTACAACAGAATGAATTTCCCAGCTGTCCTTGCAGGTAGGTTTGGTCACATAGGGTTTAGCCATGGGCTGCAGAAATGCCAAGCAGATCTTCAGCTCAGTGTCCTTAAAGGGAAGGACCATACCATCCTTGTTCTACCTTTCATCCTCCTGCAGTCTGGAAAGAGACCAGATAGTGAAGCCTAAGCAGCCAGGTTGGCTGAGGGGCAGACACCACGCACCAAGGAAACACTCAGGAGATAGAATGAGCTGTCCTACCATCTCCATGGCCTGGGCTTTCTATGTGAGAGAAAACATGAACTTGTAGGTTCAATTTGGAGGGCTTTTTCCACTCATATTTATCCTTTAACTGGTACTGTAATTTTCTCTTTTATGCCCCCTCCCTTTCTTTTCTGGTCTTCCCTCTCTCCTTCCAGGAGGAAAGGCTTCCCTGCTCAGAATCTCAGGCAGAGAGGATTAAGGTAGTGACATTAATTGGAAGTGGCCTTCTTCAGATGGACTAGTCAGGCAGTCAGGGGACAAATACAATTGTTACCCACTTCCTTGTAGTCTGTATTCAGTCCCCACGCCTCCGCCCAGTTAATTGCATTAGCTTCTTACCGGTGATTTTCCTGCTCAAAACTCCAAATGCACAGAAGGACATCCAAGCTCAGCGTGGCAGGCGAAACTCTTTAAAACTAGCCATAATTGGCCTCTCCTATTTTCTTTTTCTTGACAAACATTTTCTAAAGTCAAATCAACTGTTCAATTTGTATGCTACACACATCCCACTTTTCTGCCTTTACCCATGCATTCCCCTTCCAAGATCCCCTCCTGGCACAGCACAGAAGGCCTGCAGTCTGACCACCAGGAAATAGAAGGGTCAGCTTCGCTACTTTCAGACCAAGGGAGCTCTGGGCTGTGGTCTCTTCATCTGTACACCTGGACTCATAATGAACCGCCTTAGGTGGACCTTATGAAGTCAGACTAGGATCCTGCTTAGGGATACAAACCTCAGAACCCTACAGCCTTAAAAAGCATGGCTATTCTGCACTTATCACTGGACATCACTCTCTCTTGGTTCTGCAATTAGTGTACTAGGTTAGTGCCTTGACCTCAGCCAGCTATTCCCACAGCTGCTTACTGAACC